TCCTGCTGGAAGTTTCCCATTACCAGAAGTCAGAGGATCCCCTGGCTCTTCTTGTTTCACCGGCACAGGATACTGGTCATGTTTTTGAGCGTTTAAGGCTTCCTCCGCTTGGTCAAGATCACCCTCTGCTGCAACAACTGCTCTTTCTACCTCCTGCCTTGTGCACTTAAACCGCATCTCCATATCGGTAATCCTAGCAAGTTCTTCAGCTATATCTATTTTCAAGTTCCCAGTATTCTGAGTGCTTTGCTTCTCTACTTCTTCTTCACTCCTGTCAAACAACCAATGGACAGACTCCTCTACCTTGCCTTCATTCAACATCAGAGCTGTTGTTGCATGCTCTTGAGAAATTCCCATGGCTACAAGTTGCTGGGTAAGCGTTTCAAGCTTTCTAGACATGAGATATGTGCTACACTTCTCATGCAATTCCTGAGCCCGCCTCTCCTTCTGCCGCTGATGTTTTCTTTCATTCTTCTGCCGGATTTTTTCTCTCTTATCATTGTCTGCACCCGGTATCACTTCCTGCCGGACGGATGCATTTGATGTTTTCTCCTTGTGATCTTCCGATTCACCTGACCAGCTACCATTGTTTGATATGGCATCAGACTCAACCCCGTACCCGTCAGCCTCATCTATACTTCTGAAGCGACCATTATGAAGTGGTGAACCAGAAGATATCGAGACTGGATCAAGAACCTGAAATGTTCCCAGAAGAGGATTGTAAGCATTGGCTGGCATACTGCTATTTGCGTTAATGGATACTGTAGGCTTCATGGACGCCTTTTGGGCATCCTTTCCAGCCTTCTTCTCCTTCGATTTTGACTTCGAAGCTGGAGACATCTTCAGGGAGAACAACAAAGTCCCTGTGTCATTTAGAACCAATCGAATAGTCAATTTGACAGTCATCAGAGTAACACCCCAATTGTTCTCTTGAACTGTACCATAACACATCCCTGCACTTCTCCCGACATGTTAGATGCCACACAAAGGGATAGGAAAAAAAGACCGTAGCCTTAAATAAAAATCTTGCTTGTGCATGGAACAGAATATATCTTTAAGGACAAAAACACACTCAAGCACACAGGCAATGTACATGCTGCAGCAACAACACAGAAATAACAAAGTGAATCAAAGAGTTAGGGAGACAGAGGAGACAGACAATCAATTGATGTCTTGTCAAGGAAAGCTAAATTAGCTGCCACAGAACAAACAATGCTGGAAACAAGCGAAGATTATAAGCTTTTGTTATTCAGAGATGATCCCACCAATTGTGGCCATTCAGAGACACGCTTAAGGGTCACAATCTCCGAACAGGACAGTCACCGAATGAGACATTCGCAAAAATTCAATTATGCAAGTTAGGCACAAAGGCGGAGATGAAATAATATTAGCTTCTTAGGACAAGTTCGCAGTTGACAATGTTAGATACGGTATGGAAATTGACTCAAAGCCACCGGACACGATCACAAAACACGAACATCAGCCTCTATCAGCCACAAAATCTCGTCAAAACCAACGCTAACGCGAGGACTGTCAAAGACCAATAACGGAATACCCAGAGCACAAAAAGAAAATCCCAATTACATAAACGACCAAAGGAAATTGCCCAGACACGGAGAAGGAAACGACCGACAGCACCCAAATGGACCCAAAATTTCAGATCGATCAACAAAGCTAGAACGTCTGAGCAATTCATGGATCATAAGAGAGTCCAAAGGAAGCCACCAGTCGAAATTCATAAATCCATCCGTAAAAAGTCGTCGAATTTGCCGAATTCCCCAAACACCCGATAACAAAAAACGAAGAAATCGAGATTCAACAAACGCATCGACGATAACAGAGCACTCGATGGGCCAGGAAATCAAACAGCCCCAGAATCCGAGACGCGGAGAAAAAGAAGAGACGGACCTGGTCGGAAAAGACGATTGGGCCGAGGCCGATCGATCGACGGTCAAAATCGCGCAGGCGAGAGAGAGAATGAGAGAGAGTCGGAGAAAAAGAGATATGTATTACAAGGTCCAAACTGAATCGAAATTAGGGTTTTGTCTGGAGAACAGAGAAATAAGGAGAGGAAATGAGTGAGACTCCTCGTTGGCGTGGAAAAAGATGGTATATATGTTTGATATAAAGTTAACATCACACACTAAAGTAAATACACAGTGTAACATCTAAGTATAAAATTTATTTTATCCAAGTATAATACACTCAAAACTTGTTTTGAAAAATGTATAAAAGTTTTTAATTTTTTTTTAGTTTTCGAAATCGTCTGTATAAAAAATTAAAAAACGATGTATATTAGAAAAAAATACTGAAAAAGTATATTTAAAATTTTATATTTATTTAGTTTTTATGAAATTTAAGTTTATTTAACTCAATGGAAAGTTATTTTATCCAATATTTGCATTTTTTTCTTTTTACTATTTTCACTTGTCCTATGTTGTTTTATAAATTTCCAGAATCTCTATAAATTAATTATTATTAGATTATAATATCTAATGTTTTACGTATTTCTCATTTCCAAAATATTTTCATCTATAGATATCATTTCAATATTTTTTTGTTGGTTTTTTTTAATCTATAATTTCATTTGTTCAGGTTTACAGTTTTCTTACATATCTTCCTGTTTATTGCATTCTCATTTTTTTCCGTTATAAAATTTACACATAAACAAACAATTGTTAAAAAGAATTTTACCATAACAATTTTAAAATATCTTTAAAATTTAGAATTTTTTAGTGACATAATTGCGCACAAAATATTTTATAAAAATTTTAAGATATCATATGTCAAAACAAAAAATAATAATTTTAAGATATCACGGAAATCATATTTAACAAATATAATATCACAAAAGTCTACCAATAAATAATATATATACTATATATAATGAAAATCATAACAAAGAAGGCATAGTGCAAATCGCTCACGCAGTCCAGAAAACGGTGCGTTTTGAGACCCTCCACTCCGTCTTCCTCCACCATGGAAGGTGTGGTTGTGAAGCTCCCGTCGTTCAAGTTCCTCGGCCCTAACGTTGTCTTCTCCTCCTTCCCCTCCACTCGCCGGAGTTCCTCCGGTGTTCGTCTCTTCTCTGCTTCCTCGGCCTCTGCATCCATCGCCGCAGATTCAGAACCCACCTCCCTCGGTCACGTCGTTCGACGAGATTTCCCCATCCTCCACCAGGTTTTTCCCACTTCCTCCTGCTTCTTCATCCTGATAGGTGAATTTCTCGGAAATCGATTTGTTCTTTGACGCTCGATCAGTGATAGTTTTGGTCTCTCGATTTGGATAACCTGTTGAATTCCTTGAATTCATCTCTTCAATTGTAGAATTGAGGTTTCTGTATTGGTAATTTCACGGGATTATCCATTTTTTTTGCTTTTCTGTAGCTACAGCATTGAAAGATGGGAGAGTTATGGATACGCTGTTATTTTTGAGGTGTTGCAGGAGGTGAACGGCTCAAAGCTTGTGTACTTAGACAGTGCTGCAACTTCGCAGAAACCGACGGCAGTGTTGAAGGCCTTGCAGAATTACTATGAATCTTTTAATTCGAATGTTCACCGTGGAATCCACAATTTGAGGTGCGTTTTGTGTTAAGCTAGAATCTATGGTCTCTCAGGAGGAGTACTTGATGTTTTGGTCTTAGTTTATGTATATCTTGATTTCAATCTGGTTAGTTTTTCGTTTGAGTGAAATGGTTTCTGGGTATTTTCTGTTGATTGATTGCAGTGCTAAGGCTACGGATGAGTATGAATTGGCCAGGAAGAAGGTGGCGGCTTTTATCAATGCCTCGGATTCTAGAGAGATTGTGTTCACGAGGAATGCTACGGAAGCCATCAATCTTGTGGCCAAGACATGGGGTAAAAAAAACCTAAAACCAGGAGATGAGGTACGTCCTTTGTTGTCTTCTTACTATGCACTTAGAGATAGAGAGATGCTGTTGCTCTTGTTTGTGCAAATGATCATAGAAATCATTCTTTCACAAGATGATCCTAAGAAGAAAGAAGTGGGAAGTTACAAAGAGACGTCGAATATATTTGGTTACACTTTCAAACTGGAACTCACTAGGAGGAAGAGAGAATTATGGAATCCTCTATTTTGAGGGAAATGTCATGAATTCTTAGCTGTTAAGTTAGCCTGTTGGCAATAAGAAGCTTTGAGATGTAACAGATGTTACAAACATTGGTCTGCAGTTGAGTTGCTTTTGAACCTACATTTTCTTCTTTGTGCATTTTCAAATTGACTTTGTTGTTTGTTTTCCTTTATCCTCACAGAATAAGATGGTGAATGATGCTAGTTTCTCAGGTTGTACTTACGGTCGCGGAACATCACAGTTGCATTGTTCCTTGGCAAGAAGCAGTTGAAGAAACTGGCGCGGTTCTAAAATATGTAATGTTGAATGAAGAGGAAGTTCCAGATACTGACAAATTGAAGGAAATGCTTTCTCAAAAGACAAAGATTGTTGTCGTTCACCATGTCTCAAATGTGCTCGGTAGGTTCTGTTTTCCTGGTTTCATCTAAAACAAATTCATTTAACTTGGATAACCGAATGTGGCTTCTGCCTGTGGAAGCAAACTGGAATCGGTAATTATGTCTTTACTGCTGCTCTTTTTCTTCCTGTTTAGCCTCTTCGCTTCCTATAAAAGAGGTGGTTGTCTGGGCACATAATGTTGGAGCGAAAGTTCTCGTTGATGCTTGTCAGAGCGTTCCCCACATGCCGGTCGATGTTCAAAATCTTAATGCTGATTTTCTAGTGGCTTCTTCACATAAGGTTAGAGTTTTTTACGTTTGTTCTGAAATACATTGAGCCTTGTGGCATGTAAACAAAGTTGAAGAATAATCATGCTTCAGATGTGTGGGCCTACAGGAGTTGGCTTCTTATACGGTAAGAGCGAGATACTGCATGCCATGCCTCCATTCTTAAGTAAGCCATCTATCATAAGCTCTTCAATGCAAACACTCCTATTTCCCTTTATATATTTTGGAAATGGCTGGATTGAGCGCTGCGTAAATTTTGTTTTGGTTTTGTGCTCAGGTGGTGGAGAAATGATTTCAGAGGTATCTCTTTATCATTCAACTTATGCGGAACCTCCATCTAGGTTAGTGGTTATGCTTATATTAATAACTACTTATGGATGTAGCTTGTGGCATGAAAACAAATAAGTGTGAATGTTTATCAGATTTGAAGCTGGAACACCTGCTATAGGAGAAGCAATTGCCCTGGGAGCAGCAATTGATTACTTATCGGGGATTGGCATGCAAAATATCCATGAATATGAGGTTTGCTTCAATTTCCCTGCAGCTGTACCTCTGACTGTTACTGAAAATATGGTTCATAACCTTAAAGCACTTGAGGGTTAGATGCAAGAGTTGTCCTTCCACAGCGAGAACGCACACACTTTTTGTAAAATGACTCGTGGCTGAAAGCACTCACTGTTTCAGAACATAACTAAGTGATGTTTTTTTTTTCTTACCGTGATTAATGTTTTACGCTTTGCAGATAAAACTTGCTAATTATTTGTACGAGAAACTTTCTTCTGTGCCTGGGGTTCAGATATATGGCCCGAAACCTTCTGAAAGCGTCCACCGGGCTGCCCTTTGTTCCTTCAATGTGGAGGGCCTACACCCAACTGATTTGGCAACCTTCCTTGATCAACAGGTCTGTTGTTACCGAGGTTCCTGGCTTGTTGTCTCTCGTCATTTCTGGTTTTTCTCTTACCTTCCTTAACAACACTCCCGATGATTCTAGATGTGATACATTACATTTAGAGTGCTTGACCCTAAACCGAGGCATATCTTTACTGAATAGTGTTATCGAAACATGTTGATATATCGAAATCAAAAGAAGAGAATCCTCAAGATGACTTATCCCCGTTCTTACATGGACCGAGTCTGACTCTGTTAGGCTTTCCTCTATCTATATCCAGTGTTCTCGATCAGGTCAAGACAAATTAGGTGGCATTTCGGGTTACAGTTTTGGTTTGGTTGGGATATATTCGGGTTCAGTTATTTCGGTTTTAGAAAAACTATGATCATTCAGTTTTTATATTGAATTCGATTTCGGTTTTTATTGATAAAAATACTCATTTTTCAAAGAAATTTTCGGTTTTTTTGAATATTTTTTATTCGGTTCAGTCCATGTTTGTTTGTTTTTTCGTTTTAAAATAATCGTAACTATTTGGTTTTTATATATCTGATTCAGTTCGATTACTGTTCGGATGGATTCAATTATTCGGTTATTAACCAAACAGCGGTTGATCTTTGCAGCACGGGATCGCCATCAGGTCAGGACACCACTGTGCGCAGCCCGTCCACAAGTACCTGGGAGTGAACGCGAGTGCACGAGCCAGCCTCTATCTCTACAACACAAAGGAGGACGTCGATTTTTTCATCGATGCACTTGCCGACACTGTCGGCTTCTTCAGCTCCTTCAAGTAGCAGAATGCCTTCTTCTCTCGTTTTGTAAAATGGATCTGTGAAATCTCCATGAATGAGAAGAAATGGAGATTTTTCTCTGTACAATCTGAAGAATAAGCACACAGAGATATCGAGTGTTTGGGCTTCTATCCTATTCGCACTATTATGAGTTGATTCTATTCTCTGTGATTTTTTTCCCTCTGAATCTAAGCAGTGAGAACAGAATCAAAAAGAAAAAAAATCCTTAAAGGTCAAAGCAATTACGAATAATTGCTTAGCTGATCGATTTTTTTTTTTTATAAAATAAATTGAATCGAACGAAACGTATTTTGTTTCTTTACATGCAAGTCACTGACCGTTTTATGCCCGATTCTGTATCACATTTATTTGCATATTAAGAATTCCGCAAAATTAATCATTCGTTATTTTCGAATCTTAGAATTCAATTTTTCTAACAAAGAAACTAAAGATCATTTTAAAATTTTCAATGAATATTAGAAAATTTTGTTTAGTTTTTAAAAGTATCAAGAACAATTTCCTGTTTTTTAATAGACCAAATATAATTTTGTAAGTTTTTAAAAATACTTAGTATATTTTTGTATTTTTTGGGATAACCGACGAAAAATTAGAATTCATATAAAAAAACTCGCGGTTATTATATATACATTATTCGAGTATCATCGTAAATATCCGGTAATTTTGTCCCATCCTGCTCACGTGGATCACTCGAAGGTATGTAAACTCTTTCTTGCGGATTGGTTCACCAGTCCAAAGGCATCCTCGCAACGGCGAATTTATTTCTTATTGAGAAATTAAAACAAAATCAGAGCGTAATCATAATTATGTTAAATTAAATAATTTATCCATTATCTTTTTCTTTATAAATTTATTCACAAGGCTTTATGATTGGTTTAGTACCAAAACCCGACCCGATTCCCCAAATGCCCGAAACGCCCGCTCCAACGGCTAGTAAAATAATTTAAAAAAGCTACTAGTGACAATCTTGGCCGTCAATTCTCAACTCAGTCAAATGAACGGTTCAGATTTAAAACCAAATAAATCGACCGTTGGAGAGCCAAAAGTGGCCTTTCAGATTAGTACGCCACAAGCTACTTTCAGCATTTTTTTTTCTTCAACCACGAACATCTGCCAAAAAAGCAAACTTTGTTCGACAAAAATTAGGGTTTCTATAGAGGGAGAGCGAGTGCGGGAACTGATTGTGGAGAAGGCCGGACAAGAAGTAGCCGTCTCCGGGATTTCATTTCGTCTCTGCCAAGGAGTGTCGGAGAAGTGTTGATTCAGATCCAAGATAAGGAAGAAAGTTCAGAAATGGCGTCGAGAGCTCAGGTTCTACCTCACCAGCGTGGAACTGCGGGTTCGTGTTTCCTGATTGTTTGGTCTGGGCGTGTAGTTCGTTCTGAATCTTCATGGGTTTTGATTGAACTGCGTCTTTTGGCTCTGAATTCTGCCTGTTCTTTATCTATTTTGGTGAATGACTCGGGTGGCTACTCTGTAATATTTTCTTAATCTTCACGAGTTTTGGTTGATCTGCGTGTTTAGGGTAAAAAAAAAGTTCATGTTCCTTTATCTACTTAGTACTACATGTGATTTCTAGTAATTTGTGCTGAATCTTCATGGGTTCTGGTTTCATATGTGGGGTTCGCGTAACAATTTATCATGTTCTTTATCTGTTTTGGTGAATTCCGCATGTGGTTTCTCCGCTATTTGTTCTGAACCTTAACGGGTTTTGGTTGATTTACCTGTTTTTCGATCAGAATTTATTCTTATATCAGATCTGGTGAATAGCAGAGGATGCCTCTCCGTATATTTGTTCTGAATCTTCTTAGATTTTGGTTGATCTGTGTGTTTCTGTCACGATCTCTCTGTTTGGTGAATATCCCAGCTGTTTTATTTGAATCTGGGTTTCTCTTCCATGTATTTTGCTTGATTTTGTGAAGACGGGTGGATTCTTGAAGTTTTGATCTACTTAGATAATGAATGAGGGGAACTGATTTTCCTGAATGCTCCTGAGAAATGTCATCATAGTTTCTATTATATCCGGCTACTAATGCAATAGCTCCATAGGAGCACATGTTCGTGATTTCTGAATATTGATCAACTTCTATAATGCCAAAAATATAGGAGAGACGAAGCCGACAAACGCTGTGGGAAATGGAAAGAACAATAGGAAGGTTCTTGGAGACATTGGGAATCTTGTGGTTGGTCGTGTCGTTCAGACCGGAAAGGTTTTACTTGATCATCTTTCTGACATGATGTTTAGCGTGTTCTTTCCGTTATTTGCTTCCCAGAATTCGGAATCTGAATAGGCAAAGTTGATCTCATCAGGATCTGCAAAAGCCTAGAAACGAGGAAATTAGAGAAAATGGTGCTGTGACAAAGGCATTAGCTTCACTGAAACTAAACCAACCCTCAAAACCCGAGGTTCTTGCCATTAACACCGATGAAAATGAGAAAAGCTGCAAACCTGTTGGCAAAAGAACTCCCAAAAGAGGTACCAAGACATTCAGTGCAACCCTCACAGCTCGAAGCAAGGTTAGACACAAATTTCCAATTTTTAGTTCAATTATTAGTGACTTGAAGAAGTTTGATCAATTCCTTTTCATTTGATGAATCTTTTTCTTTATCTATCTCAATAGGCTGCAAACGGAATGAAAAAGTGCAAGAAGGATACCGTGATTGACATCGATGCAGCGGATACTGATAATGAATTGGCTGCCGTGGAATATGTGGACGATATCTATATGTTCTACAAGATGGCAGAAGTAATCTTTGTTTCCATCTTGCAACTCAAACCCATCATTAATTTTTACATCCTGTTATTTACGATTTTAATGCCGGTCACTGCAGGTTGAGGGAAAAGTCAGAGACTACATGGGATCACAGCCTGAACTGAACACAAAGATGAGATCAATACTTATCGATTGGTTGGTTGAAGTTCACAGAAAGTTCGAGCTCATGCCTGAAACTCTCTATCTCACCATCAACCTCATTGACCGGTTTCTTTCGGTAAAAGTTGTCCCGAGAAGGGAGCTTCAGTTGTTGGGCATGAGCTCCATGCTTATAGCCTCCAAGTACGAAGAGATTTGGGCACCAGAGGTCAATGATCTTGTCCTCATCTCAGACAGTGCTTATGTCAAGGAACAGGTTCTGGCCATGGAGAAATCAATCTTAGGACAGCTCGAATGGTACATCACCGTCCCAACGCCTTATGTCTTTCTTGCACGTTACGTTAAGGCCTCGGTTCCATGTGACAAAGTGGTAAGCATCTGTTTCCAGCAAAAATTAACATGTTCCCCGTTGTAAGCTATCTGCTTTCATCGGTATCGCCCATCAATCTCTCTCGGGTTATTTTTCAGATGGAGAATTTGGTGTTTTACCTGGCCGAGCTTGGACTTGTCCAGTATCCTTCCGTAGTCTTATACCTTCCATCAATGTTGGCTGCATCAGCCGTTTACGCGGCTCGAAGCATTCTTGATTGGAAACCATTTTGGACCGAGACCTTGAAACATCACACCGGTTACACAGAAGACGAGATATCGTAACCAGTTTCCCCCTCGATTTTTCGTCTCCGATCCTTTAATGTGTAATCTCATCAACAACACTGAGAAATCATCAATGGATCCCTTTTCTGTGCTTCAGGGACTGCGCCAAGATGCTGGTGGAATTGCAGGCTTCAGCTTCAGAAAGCAAGCTTAGAGCAGTCTACAAGAAATTCTCTGTTCCTGGAAACTGTGCCGTTTCATTACTCGTACCGGCTAAGGATTCCTCGGTTTCTTGCTCGTGAAGAAACTAACCCTAGTTTGTCTCGGTGTTTTTTTTTTCCTTCTCTCTGATCATGTTTCCTGTAATGATCTTTTGATGACATCGTAGGACGATGACCATGTTCGGTTTCTTTTTCTTTTTTTAATGTTTCTAGGTTTATGTGATAATTAATTCTCTCAAAAATAGTTTGTTTCCTTGGAAACGAAGAAGCTTGATTGTTTTGGAGTTTATGGCTTTTTGTATTTTTCCATCAGGAAAAAAAAAAGAAAAAGAAAAATGGTACGAGGATATCGATTTATTGTCTCTGCTTAGTGATGGGATCATACCACAGTTAATATGTATCAATTCCAAGTAATTGGATTATTCACCATTTAAACACTAAATATATAACACGAAATTATCAACGTTACAAAAAAAAATTAGAGGGATTCCTTTTAAAGCAAAATAAATACTCCCTCAATTTCAGTTTTGGAACAATTTTTTTTTGTTTCAAAACAAATGATGTTTTCAGATTTTTCATAGAATTTTTAATATTTTATTAAATTTATCTTTAACTAATAATATTTAAATATTTTACATATTTAAACATAACAATTCTCTATACAATAAATAAGGTATTTTGAACAAAATGTTATTCCATCCATTTCACAATGACTGAAGTTTTAAACTATTTTTTATGTTACTAAATATGGTTGTCATTTTAAGTTTTGTAGCCAATTTTTCAAAATAATCTTTAATTTTATTCTTAATAAAAACTAACAAATTCCAATAAATTATTGATGATCTTAAAGATATATGAGACTTTTTTTTCTATTTTCTTAAAAAAACGCAAAAAACAAACTTTAAACGTCAAGTTTTGTGAAACAAAAGGAGTATTTTTCTTAATTTATGTATTTAAGTTTTAAATATCATCTAAAATGAAACGAATGAGGGATCCTATCTATTATTATGTTACTCCCTATAGTTTTTGGCACTTGAAATCAACCGCCATAGAAAAGTTTATTTTGTTGTGTCCGAAATTGTTGGCATTGAAAAAGTGAAAACCACAATAAGAATACGAATTGTATTCATTGAATCATTGAATCGTTTGTTATATAATATCACGTAAGCATACAAATCCAATTTGAATACATAAACAACTTTTTTTCCTCGCTCATCCATTTATAAAGTTCGCATCAATCCAAATAAATTAGTATATATATATATATAGGAAATAAAATTAAAAGATATATAAGTTTGTATGGTTATATTATTTAAATTTAAATGAAAAGATATGTCTTTAGAAAATATTCTTTAAATTAACATATATATATATATATATATATATATATATATAACGAATAATTGTCATTTTAATTTAAGGAAAAATCTTATGCAAAATATACACTTTCCAAAATAATCTCAAGATAAATACTGAACTTTGAAAGCATACAAATAAAATAAATTTTCCATGAGTAATATATTAAAAAAAAAAGAAATATCAAAATCTTGCTAAATTCCAAACTAAAATCTTCAAATTTTAGTATGTATCCAAAGTGTAATTTAGTAAGATCTAGATGATTCATTTTTAATATGGTCATTGCGTAAAACTTCATATTTGTTAATTTCTAAGGCTTTAAAAAAACTTCATATTTATTTTTGGAAGCTTTAAATTTCAGTGTTTATCCTTTTATATATTTTTTAATTTTAATATTTTTTATGAGATTATTCCTACATTTAAATAAAAGGTTATATTTAAAGACTAATGTAAACAAAATATCATATGTTTCATATTAAGAAAACTTGTGTGATTATTAATTAATTACCTTTTGGTGAAGAGTTATTATTATCAGAATAAAAAAGCTAGTTTGATATGATTGAATAAAAGAAATACCTTTTCCAACAGGTATGGCCGTTTCGAAATTCGATTCGAGTTCGAATCAGTTTCTTTTGATTTTAAAAAAATAGATAACAATTGATTATTATATTATATTCGGTTCGGTTTCGATTAACTTCGGTTCTATTTTTTATTAAAAAAATAGATCTTAAAAAATCATTTTTTAGGTTTTTAAAATTTCGGTTCGTTTCGGTTTCGATTTCAAATAATTTTTTTTCTAAAAGTAATAGCGTTCGAAAATTTTGAACGATTCAGATCATAAAAATACCATATTTTTCGAGTCGATGCCATTCGATTTCGAAGAATCGAACCGAAGCATCCACCCTATTTTCTGAAGTGTTAACTATTAAATTCGTTTACAAATTTTTGTTGCAACTTTTTGTTGCCTACAAATACAAGATAGGCATTAAGACACATATATAAAATAATTATTTTAGAGATAAACGGACTGTTCTTACAAATAATTATTGCACAAGTTTTTTTTGGTTAAATTATTGCACAAGTTATTCATAAGGAGTTCCTTTATTTTCTTATAGAAACAAATTTCTCATGTGATCATGTGATGATTTGATAGAATAAACCAATATACCATTGAATCTTCTTTGTATCTTAAAAAACGTTTTTTTTTATTTTTGCAAAATGAGTGTACGCCTAGAAAATATATTTGGATTCTTGTTCTTTTTATTTTTTATTTATCAATTTTTTATTCAACACCACAAATTCAATTTTAATAATGATTATGTTGAACGAAATCAACAATTATGTGAGCCCATTAGAGAATTAGGTTTTTCCATCATATAAAAGAAACTTTAAAGTTATAAAAACCATCGATCCATATTGTTCTAATAGTTTCTGAAAGTTATATCCTATGTATTATTTGAATTTTTCAAAAATATCAAATCTCGTAACATGAATATCTTATAATTGATACTAGAGTTTGGTTTTAGTTTACTGTAGTTTGTCAATTAAAGTTTTTTTTTTTCAAATTGTATGTTATTTGAACATTATAGATGATGTAAATGATCTTTAGAGTTTGAGAATTTTTTGCATAAATATGTTAATGCATAACTTAATTTTTGTATATGGTGTATTTCAATTGATGGAGACAGCAAATTTATTTCTCCATAGACGTGCGGTTGTATACATATACATATATTAAACGTGTTTCATGTTACATTCAAGTGTTCCCACATCACATGAGCCGTGTCAAAAATATATGGGACTTGTACAAAATAAAAATCATTTATTTTAATCATATTATATGTTTTTTTTAATCTAAATCGATTATACATAACTTCAAATTTTCTATTACAAGTTTTATTTTTCTTTGTATTACATTACATGAATAAAGCGAGTTTTTTTTACATGAATAAAGTAGGTTTTGAATCATGTAAAATCAAATTATGTTTATGGGTTAAATTATTCATAATATCAAATAAAAATTAGAAATAAAAAATAAAAATAATACGCAAACCAAAGTATCTAATTTTGAGTGTGTTATTGTTATTATTATTATTATTATTATTATTATTATTATTATTATTATTATTAATTTTGTGTGTGAAACCAAAGGGATAATACGTGAAAAACAAAAAAAAAAAAACACCAGAGAAACGTCCAACGCTCTATACAGGCTCTGTATGTGCTGTATAAATTCACCCTTTCGGTGGACAGGCTCCGTACTGGATCAGAATTCTGGGAGTGAGAGGGAGAGAGATATGGAGGGAGTGGAGCACCGGATGGTGAGAGGCATAGGGTGAAAGCTCTGGCGGTGACATCCACGTGGCCGTGAAAGGAGCCGACGACGGCGCCGTCGTGCTCCTCATCCACGGCTTCCCGGAGCTGTGGTACTCATGGCGGCACCAGATCTCCGGCCTCGCGGCCCTGGGCTTCCGCGCCGTGGCTCCTGACCTCCGAGGTTACGGTGACTCCCAGGCGCCGCCGGAGATCTCCTAAAAAAAATCGAATTTAAAAATGCGATATTTTTTATATTTGGCGTTATTGGGTTTGTAAAACATTTTGGCTTGGTATCTATGTCTCTTTGTTGGCGAGCAAGAAACGGACACAAGGACAAGCGAGGAAGAATCTGTTGACGAGCAAGAATCAAGCCTGACTAAGAGCACGCTGAAACCAAACTCATGAACAACTCATCATCAGCACAAATGGAAATATACAAGTTACCGTTTTCTTATTATATGTTTCCTTCTGTAAGAGATTTACTTTCTTTCTTTTGTGCATATCAAACCTGTATAAACACTGTAATAGAAGTACATGAATGATATGGGAATCAAGTATATTTCTTACAGAAAGTTCACCCCCAAAACAGAACATACGTTCTTGCTTTCTTCTTTGATCAATCTCCAAATACTTTGAATTTCTTTATGGTATCAGAGCGGAAAGATCTGAAATCCTGAATCAATCTCTCTGTCAACTCCTCGTTTTCCCGTTTCTCCACCAATTGTTCATTGTTTCGACATCAGATCTGCAATGGAACAACAAGGAAAACTCATTCCGATTTTACTCAATGGCGAGAACTACTTTTATTGGACTAAGGCGGCAACTGCAGCACTTCACAGCAAGGGTCTGTGGGATCATGTCATCACAACCAGAGTTGCCGCCCCTCCGATGATCCCTGCTGAAGGTGACGACCCTGATTTAGTGGCGCGCCGAAACAAGCAAGAGGAGACAGATCAAGCTGTTTGGAGACAATCCGACAGTCAAGCGCTTGTAATCTTGCAGAGCTCTTTGGAAGCCACCATCCTCCAATCGTTCATTGCTAACGACACAGCCAAATCCCTTTGGGACTCCCTCAAAAAGGTTTACGGTAATCTTTCAAACATAAGTCGGATATTTGAAATAAAGAAGAAGCTTTCTAACCTGCAACAGCATGGACAACCGTTTCCCAAGATCCAAGGCGAATTCTGCGCCTTATGGGCAGAACTCGACGAAATCCGTCCTCCTACTACAGATCTACAGACCTCTCTCGCAAGAGCTCAAGAGGACAAGGTCTTTTCTCTCCTTCTCACCCTTGATGCTTCCTTTAATGACTTGATTTACCACATGTTGCGTCAAGCAAAGCTCCCGAGCTTCGATGAGGTCTGTATGATGATACAAAGGGAGGCAGGCGGTCGCAATCTCTTCACAGGCCCACAAGAACTTGCTCATTACAGCAAACGACCAACTGTCTCGACTTATCAGTCCAAAGACCGACGCCCTCTGTTCTGCGAACACTGCAAGAAGAATGGGCATACCAAGGAACGTTGTTGGATACTCAATCCTCATCTCAAGCCTAATCGGTACAGAGACACCAACCCCACCCGAGGGGCAGCATTGACAGCAAATACAACAGCCAGT